CATTCTAGCAAAACCTTAAAAAAAAAGTAAACTTTTTAGCACTTACACAAAGAACAATTTTTTTCAGATTTATTATTTTTTGAAATTAAGGACTGGTGGGGCAGCTAGGTGGCACAGTGACCAGAAGTGACTGAAGTCAGGAGGACCTGAGTTCAAATCCAGCCTTAGATGAAACACTTGACACTTACTAGCTATGTGACCCTGGGCAAGTCACTTAAACCCAATTGCCTAAAAAAAAAGAAAGAAATTAAGGACTAGCCACTAAGCCATCTTTCTTTACTAAAGAAAAAAAATACCCCTCTAAAAAAGACTAAATATTCCAAACTAAGGAAAGTCTAAAGAAAGGAAAAGAGGACTTAAAGGTTTTAGATGTCAGAATCTAAACTTTCACGTAAAATATGAACTCCATGGCAACTCTTAAGACTTTTGGCAGCTGCAGAGCAGTGATTCATTTGCATTGGGAGAGTTTCCTCATTTGGAGTCCCCTATACTAATGAAATCACAAGTCAGGAAGAAAAACCAAAAGAGCTCATATCACCAGAGCCAAACAAACTTTGGTCACAACAATCTCTGAGTCTTGTGTTCCAGTGCAGAGGGAAACCCAGAAGACTACTGAAAACTACCCAGGCTAGTGATTGCTTTCTCTGTTTGCAATAAAGAGGAAAAGTCCTGAGGCACATCACAAACTCACACAGAGTAGAAAATGGGTCCCTGAGAGAAAGACTAGTTTATCTTCAGCTGAGCCAAGTTTTCCTCTTTAACAAAGGCCACTGGCCAGGAGCATTACAAGCAGTCCTTTTTTGTTTCATTCTGAGACCAATGGCTTCTCATTCAAGGGCTAAAAGGTGATGAATCAGCACCAGAGCCATCATAGGAGGGTAAAAGGTGACCTAGTTGAAGTTTATTGGAAGCTGCCAAAGACTTTTAATTCAAGAACCTCTTTTTCTGTCTCTTCTTCTGACCAAAGGCTCTGTACGGATTCCCTGGCCTTTAGAGAGAGAGGCTCGTACTAGAAAAGTGAATGGAGAGCTGAAAAGTGGGTTGGTTTCTTGGCTGCAATATTGGGGGGGGGTGTAAGAAAGGGAAAGATCATCCAAGAACTTTATGCCCTCTGCTAACTGAAGCTCTACTTTCCAAAGAAGCTGTCTGTGCCTATTGATGAAGATATGAGCCATCTTCCTTAAAGACACTCCACGTCACCTTCGTTGGAAATGTTCTAGATTGGCCCCAGCGGCAGCCATATAATAGCCATTTGCTGATTAGTGCAAGGCAAGCTACTGTATAAGGGCAGATTTTCATGTTACCTGAGGATATGGAAGAGACAAGGGGAGAAGGAAAAGATGCATTCCAGAGCAAAGTGACCCAAAAGCTGGTGAAAGGGAAGATGGGGGCTAAGAAAACCTGGGCCTCAAAAACCATACCACTAGAGGAAATATGAATCAAAGGTCAAGGGATGACAGAGGCAGCTTGGCACACTAAAAACATATATGTACCCACCCACCAAAACACTAAATAATTAGGTCATAGGATTTTATAGCCCTGTAGGACCTCTGAGTTCATCTAATCCAACTTCTTTATTTTAGAGCTGAGGACCCAAGTTGTGAAATGACTTTCCCAAAATCATACATGGTATATTATAGATCAGAACCCCAGCCTTACAGGGCTCATTCCATTATACCATATCTTCCCTCTGTAGGACCCCTGATTAGGGCCTTAGAGATTCTGACAGCCACCAACATAGAGTAGTAGAAGACCAACTGGAATACAACAGGAGAGATAGGAAGCCCACAGTGGAGGGAGTACCAGCTACACAAGCGAGGAACTGAGCTACCAGACAACTTGGCTTTTTTGAAGGAGCAAAGCTCTTGAGACACAGATCTTGTGGGAAACCCCCAATGCAGCAAGCCCTTTAGCTAAACACTTCACATCTGTGAAACAATGTTTCATTTCAGAATCCACAGTAGCAAGTCCAAACCAAGTTTAACTGTCACAACCAGTAAGTACCAGAAAACAAAAGAAACCAGGAAACCTAAGTTTCCCAGACGGAGGGAAAGAGAAAGATGAGAAAAGTGGGCTGCAGGGGAAGAATAAGATAGATTGGTTTCTAAGATCCCTTTAGCACCCAGGAAGAAACAACTTCCCACCCCTCTTCAAATCTGTTCCTTCATCTTCATGTCCTTCTTCCTACCAGGACCAAAGTCTCCCTCTCCCAGACATTTCTTCCTTATTATTCTGTCCCAGTCCTGCTTTTTGGATCTCCTAGATCTTTCAACAGATAAAGCCCACTTCATTCCTCCACCCCTAGGCATTTCCTTCTACCATATACATCTTCCTCTCTTGCTATTTCTCCCCCACCTTCCCTCTTTACTTAACCAGGACCCTAAGTCCTTTAAAACTTTCTACCTCCCCACCCTCAACCTCTCAGTCCTCTTGTACTTCCCCCTCATCCTCCTAAGTCCCATTGTTCTTTCCTCCATCCTCTCTGTCCTTTTGTACTTCTCCCTATCTTCAGTCACTCTGTGCTTTCTCTGCTTCCCCCATCCTCAGTCCTCCCGTTTTCTCCCCCTCATCCTTTCAGTTCCCCTGTGCTTTCTCCTCCCCATCCTCTCAGTCCCCCTGTACTCTTCCCCTCATCCTCAGTCTCCCCTACTTTTTCTTCCCCCTCCTCTTAGTCCCCCTGTAGTCTCCCCTCATCCTCTCAGCCCCCAGCCCCGTGCCTTCTTTCACCCCCTCATTCTTGGTCCCCTTGGACCTTGCCCCTCATTGTCTCAGTCCCCTTGGACTCTTCCCCTCAGCCTCTTAGCCCCCTCTGTGCTTTCTATCCCCCATTTTCTCAGTCCCCAGGTACTTCCCCCCCCAACTCTTTCAGTCCTCCTGTACTCTCTCCCTCATCCTCTCAGTCCTCCTGTACTCTCCTCCATCCTTTGAGCCCTTGTACTCTCCACCCATCCTTTGCCCCCCCCGTACTCTCCCCCTATTCTTTCAGTCCCCCCAACTTTCCCCCATGCTTTGAGCCCTCCTGTCCTCTCCCCCCCAGCCTCTCAGCCCCCCTGTGCTTTCTCTGCCCCAATCCCACTGGTTTCCCCCATTCTCAGGGTTCCTCCCCCCTCCATCCCTTGCCCCTCTTTCTTTCGCTCCGCGCCCTAAGTCTCCCCTCCCTCTAAGGCTACCGACTAACCCCCCCCCACCCACTCCAGCCCATGGGGGCCATGTCCCCTTCCCCCCTCCCTACCCTTTCTCCCTTCCCCACCCTCTGCTCACCCCCAGACCCGGGCCCCGGGGACCCGAGGCTTCCCAGGCCTCCCCCCCCCCCAACACTTCACGCCCTTGCCCCCTCAGGCCCCGCCCCCAGGCTGCCCGGGCCCCGCCCCCCGCCCCCCGCGCGCGCCCAAGCCCCGCCCCTCACTCACCTGAGGCGGCTCCGCGTGCGCGCGCGCGCGAACGGAGGGGCAGGGGGGGGAAGTGTTGGGGACGAGGGGGGCGGGGCAGTGGGGGGGAAAGCCCCCCGGCCCGGCCGGCTCGGGGCTGGGGGGTCACGGGGGGCGGGGTCACTGAGGCGGTGGCAGCCGGGCCAGAGCCGGGGTGAGGGCGCTCGGCGGCGGCTCCATCTCCATCGGCTGCTTCACCTGAGGAGGGACGGACCCCCCCTCGAGCCCCCCCCATCACAGCCGTCCCCCCCTCCCCCGAACAACTTCCGGTCCCACTGCCAGGCGACAGGCTGCGTGGCCGAACACCGAGCGCTCCGGCGCCGGGGAGGCTGCTGGGGAAAAGGAGCGGAGCCAGGTGAGAGCAGCCGAACACCGAGGGCATCGAGTCGAGCTGGCGCCCTCCGGGGGGTGGCGGTATCTGCCTCTGTATCTACCCGTGTGATCGGCGTCATCCACTTCAGCTGAGAGACCCCCCCCTGCACACCCCTCAGGCTTTCCCCACCCGTCTCTTCCCTTCGTCCTGGGGATCCTCAGGACAGTATCCAGTCTGTTAGGAAGTAATTTAGAAAGGGAGGGAGGGAAGTTCTAAGCCCTCTTGCTTTCTGGTAGTCCTCGGCTAGCTCTCAAAGTTTCAATTCAATCTTTAAGTGCCTTCTAGGTACCAAGCTCTAGGATAAAAGGAGTAAAACTCACACCCCCCCTGCCCTCTAGGAGTTTACATTCTCCCGGGATTGGGGGCGGGGCTTCGTTTGAGGAGCGCCAATGAAAGTACCCACCTCAGCTGCTCTCTGCCTGACTCCTTCAGATCATAGAGTTAGAAGACTCATTAAATGCAATTTATTCCAAGGCTCGTTTTACAGATGAGTAAACTGCAGCCGAGGGAGGTTAAGCAAAGAACTGTGAGAATAGAGCGACTGGGAAAAGAAAACCTAAGGGACATAGTTTCCTTAAACATTAGGTGACCTTGAGCAAATTGAAGTTAGGATTTAAATGGAGTCACCTTGGCTGACCCCAAATTCAGAAAGTTTTAAAAATCAATTTTATTGAAATCTTGTGGGTTTACATTATTCACATTTACAAGTATTATCCCTCTCCCTCGCTAGAGAGCCATCCCTTATAACAAACGGAAAGAAAAAAAAAAAGCAAAACTAACCAATATGGGGGGGAACTTCCGTTGTATGTAATATTCCACACCCAAAGCCCCTCACCTCCAAAAAAAAAAGAGCAGCAGGTGCCTTCTCATCTTTGGGGTGAAGCTTGGTAGTTACAACTTTACAGTATTGTTTGGATTTTGAATGATTGTATTGTTTTCCTGGTTCTGCTTTCATCATTTTACATTCGTTCATAAGTCTTCCCCTTTCTTTGTATTCCTCATATTGTTTCTTACAGCACAGTATAATTCCATTACATTCAATTTGTTAGGCATCTCCTTTGTTCCCAGTTCTTTGTTGTGACCATGCTGCCACCCCTTCATCATGTGTACAAAATTCACATGTGTATGCAGCCTCCCACCCTGTATTTCTTTTCCTACTCTCTTCCTGGCCCTTCTTGCCCAGGCAACAGGCCAAAGAATAAGCAGAATAAACAGAAACTTTATTGATATAATTTTAAAAAAAAGAAGGGGTTACAATCCCCTTTTTCTTCACAGTCTCTTCTGCCCTGGGAGCTGGGGACAGGTAAAATAAACATCAACATTATATACATTATGTATAAATGGAAGACAAAATAAGGCCCTAGAGGTGACAGGGAAATTAAAAGACTGGAGAGAGAAGAGGTGGTGGCAGGTGTTATTACATTGACTGATACTTCTGTCCAGTTCCAACTTCTGTCCAGACAGCTTCCAACTCAATCTCAAGGAAGAGTCTGAAGGACCACAGAGTATGAGGTAGATATCACAATGGAATAAATTTAGAGAAAATCATAAGTACCAGTCCTTGAAGTTAGGAGGAAGGCATGATTGGAAATGTGTATGCCTGGAGGTGGTTAGGGAAGGGGATATATATTTATATTTGTGGAAGGGGGAAGGGGTGGGGCTATCCCAGAGATAGAGTCTGAGAAGGATAGAAAACCAGAGGATAGAGGAGTTTTTGAATGTCTATAGAAAAGGGAAGAATTCAAGACGGAAATAGTTTGGAAGGGTAAGAGATTGAGAAGGGTGGTTTATAGGGTGTCAAGGCTGCAGTAATTGTTTTTTACGGGGCTACCTGAACATGGACACGGTGCCAAGAATTGGTGAGCACACCTCGAAGGTTCCAGATAGGGGCCACAGTGTCAGGCTGCACATTGTATCCATCATCCACAGCCTTACATATAATGTTCAGTTCCTTCCAGTCAGTAGGTACTGGTGCTGTCAGCTGCCACAGTCGCCATGCCCAGGCTCTCCTTGGTGCCTGTGCCTCCCCTTCCAGCTTTGCCTCTTGCCAGGTCAGGCCACCATCCAGAGATACATCCACCCTGATTATAGCCCTGCCGCCCCCACTCCAAGCATAGCCCTTCACGGTCACCTCCCCAGGCTCTATTGTTTGCCCTTCCCTGGGTTCTGTGATAACTGACTGGACAGGGAGCTCCTGAATGGCTGGAGCAGAGTCAAAGTCCACTTTGTCCCAGTCTACTGAGGGACAGAAGCCTTTGTAATCACGACGTTGCCAATGGCTAGGACTTTCCTCAGGGCTGATGCTTACCTTTCCCAGCCACTTGACCTGTCGGGCACCCACTACACCAGGCACCACCACCCTTAATGGGAAACCATGGTCAGGGGGCAGTGGCTGCCCATTCATCTCATAAGCCAGCAGAACATCACCTTCAGGATCCATGGCCCGAGCCAGGGGAATGGAGGCTCCATAGGCTGTCCCTGTGGGGTCAGAGTCCAGCCCTTCAAAACACACATGGGCTTCAGAGCCAGAGGGTGAATGGCCAGCCTGGATCAAAACATCTCGTAGCCGGGCACCGCCCCACTGGGCGGTGCTAATGGCTCCTGCCCCCCAGTTTAACCCTTTTACAGACTTAACTTGGGCCATCTCACTTCGACGGTTCCCAGCACACTGCAGGGTGACTGTGACCTGGTGCTTGGGGAAGCGGCGGAGATCATCTAGTGACAGGCTCAGTGTCTGACCACCTGGGGGCCCTTCCACTTGCAGATGGTATGTGGCAGGGTCTATGGTGGGTACAGGCAGGTGATTTCGTGTGAAAAAGAGAGGATTGGGTGTGATATAGCTCTCACCCAAGAGCTCAAGGGGTGGTTCTGCATTAAAAGGCTTCTGGCTGTTGATCTGCAAAGCAGGGTGTCTGGGAGGGTCACTGGCATAAGGATCAGTGCAAACTTGGTCAGAAGATCTTTCCTCATCAGGGCTTAGCTCCCCAATTTTATACTCAGCTAGGAGCTCACGAACATGTGGCTGGTTGTGTGCTGCATAGAGAGCCCAGAAAGGCTCCAGTGGTCCCCCTGCAGCAAGCAATAATTTAGATGGTCCACCTGGGTGGATGGCTACAAAGTCTGTGACATCAAAGACCTCATGACCCAAGGTTACCCAGACCCGTGTCTCAAGACTTCTATGACGCTTCACTTCTGCCTTTGTGTATACAGGTAGTGAATCTTCGGCAGCCTGTGGGGGATGGAGGAGAGGAGATGGAAGGAAAAAATTATGGGGGGTGCTATCAACCTTTTTGTTTCACCCAGCCCAGTCCATACAGTGTATGGTACCAGGGAACCTGGGAGTCATAAGACTGGGGTTAGGGTTTCCAATCCTGGCATACCATCTATGTGTTACTGGATAAGTCATTTATTCTCTACAAGCTCCAGTTTCATCAGCTGTAAAATGGAGATAACTCTTGAACTACTTATCTTGCAGGGTTGCCCTTAGCAAATATTTTGTAATCTTTAAAGCCATATACAAATATAAGTTATAATCAGTCCTGGCAGCAATTCCTTCTCTTCAGTGTGGCTGCAAGGTGGCATAGCGAATAGAGTGCTGGATCTGAGTGTCAGGAAGAATTGAGTTTAAATCTGGCTTCCTGTACTTACTCACTGTGATCCTGGGCAAGTCATTGTCTGCCTCAGTTTCTTCTTCTATAAAATGAGGATCTTAATAATAGCATCTACATCCAGGGATAGTTGTGAAGATCAAATGAGATAATATTTTGGTTTTTTTTCTTTTCTTTTTTTTTTTAGGCACTTGGGGTTAAGTGACTTGCCCAGGATCACACAGCTAGAGTCAAGTGTTTGGTCTGAGGCCAAATTTGAACTCAGGTCTTCCTGACTTCAGGGCCGGTGCTCTATCCACTGCGCCACCTAGCTGCTCCATGAGATAATATTTGTAAAGCACAAGCCTAAGAGTACTATATAAATGCTAGCTAGCTATCATTTATTTCAACAAACCTTGCAACCCAGTCAACTTAGTCACCTTTCCACTCTACCTTTTCTCTATGGTTTCCATAGGCCAGTACAGCCCCAACGCCCAGCAGTGCCCCTGCAACTGCCCAGTATCCAGAAGCAGTGCTGCCATTAGAAAAGTGAGGTTTGGGGCTTTGGAGATGAGAGGGATCACTAGTAAAGCAGACATGGGGATGCAGCTTTGGGACAATCAACCTGTAAAGAGGAGAGAGAATCAGTAATACTCCCTACCACGCCTCATCCCAAAAGGAGTTACATGCAAAGGGTTTGGATAGCATCAGGTTGATGCTATCCATACCTGTTCAAGGATGAAGGAATAAGATGTCCCAGGCTAAGCCATAAAAGAAGCTAAATACCTGGGTCTTTTCATTTCCTTAGCTAGAATTTGTTCTTTCCCAGGATCCAGCTTCCCTACCTATAATCCTTCCTAGCTATTAAAGGCAGTTAACTACCCCAAGGAGATAGTAAGATAAGATAACAAATCATAAAATACTGAAACAGAGGAGATATAGAAGTAAGAAACTGTTCTGGGATAAGGCATACCTGTCAAACCTAGAATTTCTAAGGCCAGAGACAGCAGCTCTTTGTAGCAACAGCATTACAGACACCAAGATTCTAGAAAAGAGGGAGAAAAAAAAAGTAATAACCATGGAGCAAAGGGAGGGGAAGCCTTCAGAAGTGAGACTTAAGAGATAGAGGAATGAGGAAAGGGACTCCTGCCAACTTCATTAGGAAAAAGAGGTAACTGATAGAATCCCAAGCTCAGTCCTTCAAGAGGACAGAATGGAGTAAAGGAGACTGCCAGGTACAAAGACAATATAGGAATAGATGTGATGGATTTCCTAAAAGCAGTTGTCCTCTTTCCCCTTTCCTTCAATCTATGAGAATGATGCCTAGTCTAGTATCTAATATTGTACACTTACGTGATTACCAAAAAGCAAGTTTTGTTTTGTTTTAGTTAGGGAGCAAGCTAAAACAGGGAGAAATGAGGTAAAGCAGATCCCTCATTCTCCATAAAAAATATCTGAGAATCAATATGCCTGGGTCCCCACTCCTGTCTTAGGCATTCTCTTGCCATTCCTGAGCTCAGCAAACTGAGGGATGATTGTCCCACCTGTCCAACGGGCTGGATTTTTCTCTAGGGAAAAAGGGAACTTCACAATTGTCACTCCAATAGCTTTCTGTCTCCTAGCCCTTTAGTTAGAATCAGAGTAATGGAGGGAAAGCAAGACACTAGGTAAACCTGCGCCTACGAAAGGTGTTTCATGCCTGTTGAAGGACAGTTGGGGTTTAAACAACTGAGGGAGTCAGTCTAAGAAAGAAAGCAGAGAAAGTAATCAGGGGATGCCAAGGAAGAGGAATCTGTTACCTTGGAAACAAGGGGGAACTGAACTTTACTCTTCAGCACCCTACTCCCTTTACATTGCACACGGGGCCCTTTGGGACAAAGAATTACTTTTTAAAATGTGAACCCTGCCAATGCCTTTCTGCCCTGGTTTGGCCGAGGCGGCCTTTTAATGGGCAACATCCCGCCAGTGGGGGTAACCTACAGTCCATTTACCCTGGAGTGGGGGGGGGAGGCGGGGCTGGGAGCAGGAGATGGTACTCAGAATGGGGAGACAGTTGCCCAGGCATATCTGCGGTGGGGGGGGAGGAAGAGAAAAGAATTTTAGAGCAATACTTTGCACCCCACCCCCACCCCATGACGTAGGCATGTCCTTCCCACCCCACCCCCAACCCCTAGAGGTGCTCTCAGACATACCTCGTTCCCTCTTTATTCTGCCCTCCTTTTTCCTTCCAGTCTTCTACCCGGAGCAGCGTTCTAGCAGCAGCCGCGCTTCTTCAGACGGTCTTAGTCTGAACCTTTGGTGGAGAGGGCGGGGACTCCAGGTGGTGACGTCAGGGTGGGATTTAAAGGACCACTCTTTAAATCGCTCCTCCAATTATCCCCCAACTAAGGACGGGGTGAGGAATCCCACAGAAAAATATTCTCACCTTAGTTTATTTGTTTAGCTAGCTTTCAAGTAGTAGGGCACGGGCAAATAACTGAGGGCTGGGAATTCGGGTGCTCGTCTTCTGCTGGGTTCCCTGAGTTAATGCTTCAGTCTTACGGACCCAGCAGGTTTGGAGAAATAAACAGACCAGGTGGATGGAGACCCATCTAAGTACCAGGAAACTGAGTAGGTAAAGGTAGAGGGGACGTTAATGGTATATCGAGGGGTAAGGTGATTGAGGACGACCCCCGCCAGTAACTCTAATCAGTAGTCAACATTCAAGAAATATTTATTAAGCTTCTACCAAGTGCAAGGTATTGTGCTTGGCGCTGAGCATACAAAAAGGAAAAACAAGGTCCCTGCCTCCCAGAAGCTTACATTCTATTGGAAAGGATACACGTGAGCTCCAAGACTAAACGATCTGTGAACTCATTGATGTGGATTATTTCCTTCAAAAATGCTGCTGGTAACCCATTATGACTCTCCTTCAGATTCTCCCATAAATCCGCCACAGGGGAGTCCACCAAATGTGTCTACGGGCTTTCCTACGTTCTCTTGATACATCACAGGTATCAATATACATATATAACAAGGGGTAGAGAGTGATGGAGGCAAAAGAGCCAGTGTCCTAGGAAAACACGAGGATGAGAGCACTTAGAGCTGAGGGTTCCAGGGAAGGAGGTGAAGTCTAAGGCTTGATGGAAGTTTCTTAAAGGCAGGACGAAGGGGTTGCATTCTGGGAAAATCCACAGAAAGATGTGGTATGTCCTGTTTGGGTAGAAGTGTAAAGGGCAGTGGGGTAACTGAAGCAAGGCTACAGGAAGCTAGAGAGATTTGAGGTCAGTGGAATGAATGGTCATACTGTGCCTCCAGGTGATTTCGACATGTAGTCTCTCTCTAGATACCCCAAACCCAAGAGCCAGAGAGAAACAAGTTGAAATACCAAGATCCATCCGGAGAGCAATACTTTGCTTCTCCTGCATGACCCAGACACTGAAGTAGAATTTAAACGGGATTCCATTTTTGCCTTTAATCTCCAGTATTTAGCGCTGTACCTTGCCCTTGGGCACACGGTGTGTCGAATTAATGAGTAAAATGGTAAGTTCTCTCACCTCCAACTTCAAAACATGTCTTTTTAAAAAGTGGTATACTCCAGCTTTCGTCTTCTTACCGGTGACACCTCCCTTTCCGTGACCATTTGCCCCTTGAGGCTGTGGAATCGAGCTCAAAATATGATTCTCATATCCCCAGGTTCTGGCAGAAGTGAATAGAAATGAAATCTACGGGGTACCCTGCAGTTGGGGGTCTTGTGTTTTGATATTCCCACACCGCCCCCCCGTGACAGGATGGCCCTCCTACATTACAGCCAGACTGCTTCAATCATGCTCCCCTCTCCAGTAACAGAAAAAGCCTGACTAGTGGAGAGAACAAGGAGATAGATAGTAATGTGAAGAAGGGGGTCCTGACAGTACTGACTGCAATATCAAAGTTGCAGTAAGCGAAGTCAGAGAGTACAATAAAAAGCTCTGAAGCAGTATCAAACTAGACTTGGGCACAAATTAGTGGTACAGGAAGCCTGCTCCCCATCTGTCTTACTGGCATACTAATTAAAGCAACGCTGACACTTCAGCATAGGGAGAAAAAGGGGCTCTTGCTCTTCCACTTCCTATGTGTTGGGCACGTGAACATCCTGTCGTCCATTCCTCTTTTCCTCTGGTGTAGGAAATGGCAACATAACAGGAGGGAAAGATGATAAATTATCAGAGGAGACTTGGGTCTCACAAGGGGTCCATGAACTTGGATAGGAAAATTTTTACAACTTTATTTTCACCAAATTCTAACTGAAATTTAGCATTTCCCTTGATTATGCATTTTTAAAAAGATTATCTGAGAAGGGGGCTATAGCTTTCACCAGACTGCCAAAGGGGACCATGACACACAAAAAAAGGTCAGAAGAATATTGGAGAAACTCCAAAGGGATCTGATAACCTTTATAAGTGATTTGCTCCTTTACAAACAGAGAAGATCCTACAATATAAAAAGCCCCAAACATAACTTTGGCCCTTCTTGAAGCCGCCTTCAGTGTTCTGAGGAAGATGGAAAATGGAATCAAACTAGACATTTTGATTCAATGTAGCTGCCCCCTCCTTTCCCAACATCTAGCTTCAGCTAGAAAAACAGCAGGAAAGAAACACTAATACACTTTTTCCCTCTTTTTTTCCCCCTCTTTTTTTTACTTACATTAAATACATTGGTAAATCAGCAGGTGCATTCTGTTACCACAACTGTTATATTTGGAGAAGGGAAAGGGAGAAAGACAAATGGTTTCTTGGAAGCAAAAAAAAAGTTTCAAAAAAAACCCATAAAAACAACTGATCAGGAAAAAAAAAAAGCAGAAAAATTAAAAAAACTCCCAAAGCCCAGTGAAGCTACAGTCTCACTGAAACCAGAGATAAGCAGAAAAGGGAGGGAAGGCAGTAGACAAGCCAAAGAAGCTAAGGCCAATCCTGTTCCTTAAGTGTGTTATGGAGGGCGGGGGGCAATAAAGAGAATCTTCTGGGGAAAAGACTCCAATCTCAAGGCAAAGATAGACCTTCACCCCAAGGGATAGACACACAAATATGCAGAGACCTAGAGATCCCTTCTAGTTCCCTAGCTTCTTTGAAGAATGCTGAGTGTTTGATGACTTGATGGCAACCTGAAGGGAAGGAAAAAAAATCTGCCAGGCCCCTGGGGAATTAAGGATGCCACTGGGAGAAGCTCAGCTGAAGGTCTTAAGATGAATGCAACAAGGTCTTAGGGTTATAAATTTCATAGCTTTTTTTTTTTTTGGTATTTGAGACAGGTAAGGCAGTTCAAGTGACTGTGGGCCAGGAAAACAGGTAAGACTCTTAAACCCCAGGATTTAGAAATCAGCCATGGTCCTGAATAGCTTTCTCCTAAATATTAGGCCACATTCCTAATGGTGAATAAGAGGAAACTTGGAGCAACAGTAATCTTCTACTTCCTCCTGGAATTTGTTCTCTTGACAGTTTTCCCCAAATACTCTAAACCCAGGCCCTTTTCCACCTACCTTTACCTCAGAGATCTATACTCTGGATGCAGCAAGTGTTTTAATCCCTCTTAATGAAGTAACACTTTTTGAAGTAACTATTATGAAAGAACTCTTGAAATCAGCTGCTTCACTGGCCAGAAGAGCAGCTAGTATGGTCTGTGGGACTACAACTAGGACTTTGTGGCTTACGCTTCCATGGAGGGAGTGGTGACAAAAGAGCAGGATATGGGGGCCGTGGCTCCTAGGGAATATGAGTTGCCATTGTCCCTCAGAAGTGGGATATTGAAGAATGAATCAAAGGAGTAGGGTAGAAGGTTAAGGCCAGGGATCCTGACAGAAGAAACAGGGCATGACTGAGGCCCATTTGGAAGCCAAATGGCATGACAGACCGTACAATGGAGAAAGAGATCATCATACCTATTTACAGGGAAGTAGAAAAGAGAATGGGGATAGAGCATCAAAATGAGTGACTCCCATTTGAGGGAAAGGTAGCCGTCCTCCCCTCTCCCCATACTCCTGCCTCTTGCCTGGGACATGCCTTAATCTCTACCTTGGCCTGTGCTTCCCTCTTCAATCTCAGTCTCCCCACCAGGTCTTCAGAGTGGTAAGGTCTCAAACACAGCGAAGGGTTGAGGAGTGGACAAGGCGGAGAGGAATCAAAGTCTGGGGGTAGGATCAAGGAGGAGAGAGGGTTTGGCTTGGGTAGCTGCCACTGCCCTTTCTCACCCACCCCACAGACCTCGTATACACCTCACTTTCCATGTAGTTAAAAAAGGAAGGCGTGTGCGTTAAAAAACCCCTAAAATAAGCATCCCAAATAAACCATCAACTAAAGTGCAAACCGCAGTGATAGGCCATGCCCAGGGTTGAGAGAGAACAGGTGATGGGGCTGAGGCCAATGAGGAAAACAATTCTATATGTATATCAATCAGAGGATGGGTATCAGAGACTGGTCCCTCCTCCAACTAGACCACAGCAGAGCCAAGAAAAAGGCACCCAATAACGGTTCTTTGGAAGACCCTGGGGCTGAATCACCCTGGGGGAAGAGCCCCCAAAGGCCAAGGGAAAATAAAGGCAGAGAAAGTACTACAGAGTTCCCAAGGAGCCCTAAGCCTCTTCCTCTGCCCAGGTTAACTAACTCAGCATGACCCTGCACACTTTTCTCCTGTTCTCACCTTTGCCCAGAAGTTTCCCATCCACCCACCCAGGGGTAGAAGAAGAGGATCATGGACACTGCAGCTTTCTTCGAATGTGGGAAATACCCATTATATAATGAGAAAAAAGGAGCTGTTTTCCTGCCAGACCCTTATCCCCCCCCCCTTCCCCCGGTTACCAATGTGGATGTGCTGTGTACCCCTTCTCATATCTCAAGTTCACCTCTCCAACCCTGGGAAGAGGGGGACATCAAGGTGGGGAAAGGGACCAAAACCAGTTATTGATGGAAGGCAGGAGCAAGCGACAAAAATGTTATCTGAAGACATGGGGATGAAGGGTGGGAAGAGAAAGAGAGATAAGTAGGTTACTGTCTTGCACCTATAATACAAAGTGAAGAAAGTCTGTTTTGGAAGGTGAGTTCCAGGGGGAACTAACCACCCCCCTTGAGCCCCAGGGCAGAGGTGGGAGGCCGGTGGCAACAGCTGCCTGTTGTTGTTGGTTGCTGAAGCATTAACAAGCGCCAGGACGGAGCTGTTGGGAGGTGGCCTGTGGGAGCCAGGGCTCAGTGTGCTGTTACCGAAGGGGCTGTGTGCTGAGGGGTGGGGACTGAAGTTAGGTCTTAGCTCTCGTGCTCGCTCTACGCTCATTTGCTGCCAGCCACCCCATCAGTTGCTACAACACTGGCTCTTGTTCTGCTGCGACTGCTCATGGAGATCCACACCTCGGCTTCGGCCTCCTGTACCTCCCATGTTTTGCGGTTCATTCTTGGGCAATTTCTTAGCTAGAGACAAGAGATAGAGAGACAGAAAATAGATGATTTCACTTCAAAAAGAGAAAGTCTTAGTGGGGAGGGGACACCAGTGGAATGTTCTAAGGAAGATGGAGGTCAAGATTCTCCAACTGCACTGCAGTCTGGGGGCAAGGAGAAAGGGCTGAGACCACAATTAGAAAGGAGAGACCAGATACCACAAAGGACTCTCCATCAGGAAGTTTCTATTAAAAGCTGGCTAAGGACTTTCCTTACCTAACATCCTAAGACATTGCCATCTAGCTATCCCTGTAGTTTAGGTTGCTGCTAATTGGTCTTGAGACTAAGGAAGAGACATTCAGAAGGACGCTGGGTTATCCTGCCCTTACCTATAGCCAAGAAGAGGTCATTCACATTCATGGCTGTCTTGGCCGATGTCTCCATAAACAATAAGCTGTTGTCATCTGCATATGCCTGGGCCTCCTGCAAAGGATCAGGGTGAGGCATTTGGAAGTTCAGAATGTAGAGCTGCATTTCCAGATCTGCATTAGGGTTAGGCAGTACTCATAGTTCCTTCCCTTTAGTTAACTCCCACCAATCCTACTGTCCCATTCCAGCCTGCTGGGCCATTTTGTTAGTTATTCCAGCAGGGAAGAATGTCATCTACAGGATTTAAAATTCATGTTCTTGGGGGCAGCTAGGTGGCGCAGTGGATAGAGCACCGCCCCGAAGTCGGGAGGACCTGTGTTCAAATGCGGCCTCAGACCAAACACTTAACACTTACTAGCTGTGTGACCCTGGGGCAAGTCACTTAACCCCAATTGCCTAAAAGCAAAAAATAAAATAAAAATAAAAATAAAAAATAAAAAAACAAAATTCACGTTCTTGGACAGAGAGATGCTTATGAAACCCAACAAGTGGTGGTAAGGGACAATGGATAAGTTGAGAAACTTGAGATGACCTGAAACTTAGGGAACCTTATCTATTAAAGTACCTGCCTTCCTTCTTCTCTTCATATTGATACTCCTATATCCCTTTAACCCTCGGTTCTGATATTTCCCAACAATTCACAAATCCCCCAATTCTTATAGGTGTTAGTCTGCTATGTTTTGCTCAGTGCTGAAATGTGAAGGGAAGAAGTGTCCAGAAAAGGAAGAGATGAGAACAAACTGTCTTGGGGAGCAGTGAAGCTCTTAGGGAGGAACTCTCTGGGTCCCCTTACTTCATATTCCACCATGCGCTTGTTGGCCAAGTCAGCCTTGTTTCCTGCCAGGGCAATGACAATGCTGGGACTGGCCTGTCGCTGTAGTTCTTTCACCCATGTCTTTGCCCGGGCAAAGGTTTCCTGGGGAAACAGAGGAAAGTGGGGAAAAGAGGTATATTCTGAACTCCTCTGCCAATTCATGTCCATCACCTTCCAAATCCCCCTCTCACATGAAGACTTTCTTCTCTGAAACCACATTAGTGCTAACTCCTCTTATATACTTATATACTTTGTGTCCAGAGATTTTATAGTACAGGTAAGCTACTTCAAATGTGTATATCTCATTTGCCCAACTAAACCTGAAAATATAGTGGAAATAACAATACACTTAAGAGTTCTGCCTCTGATATTTGCTAGCTACATATTCAGGCAAAAATCACTTAACCTTCTGAGTTTCAGTTTCCTATTCTGTAAAATGGAGATAATATTCATATTACCTGCTTCACATTGTTACTGTGAGAAGAGCAGATTGTAAGCTGTAAATGTAAGCTATTATTATTCTTTTATATTCTCCTATAGTACCTTGTCCTAGGCTCCGCCCATACAGATTAGATTAAAAATTCTGACTATCCAATTCTCAGAATTCCAAAATTGGGGAACATTATCTTCATCACTTACCTGATTAGTTATGTCATAGACCACAATAGCAGCCTGAGCACCCCGGTAGTACATGGGTGCCAAGCTGTGGTATCGTTCCTGTCCTGCTGTGTCCCAGATTTCAAACTTGACTGTTGTGTCATCCAGACAGACTGACTGTGTGAGGAAGGCGGCTGTAGAAAAAAAAATTCAGGGGAGAAGGAGGGAGGGCCAAGGAAGAAGAAGAATAGAAAAAGCAGCAAATGAGGAGGTGGCTGGGTGGCTGGGAAACCCTCTCCTCCCATCCATTACACTTAGCACTTCTAAGTATAGGTGTCATTCAAATTGAGGGAAAAATTCTCTCTTCCACAGCTTCTATAAGTTTCTCTTGTTCATAGGCTGGAGAGACAATCCCTCAAGGGTATGATTAAGTTCTTTCTGCCCAGAAGTTTTGATAGATGGGAAATAGTAACAATTCATGAACTACCAGGAACTGCAGGGTGGAGAAGAAGATGAACTGAAATAGTTACATTTACATACCACTTTTCTCACAAAATTGATGTGAGTGATAAGCACTTGGGACAGTCAGTCAAGAAGCATTTATTAAGTATCTACTATGGGCCAGGGACTGTGTCAAGTGCTCATGATACAAAGAAAGGTAAAACAAAGACAGTCCTTGCCCACAAGAAGTTCACAATCTAATAGGGGAGACACTAAACAACTATATATACAGGTTAAATTGAAAATAATTAACAGAGGGAAGGTAGGGCAGTAGAATTAAGAGGGACTGGGAAAAGGCTTTCTCTAGAAGGTTGGATTTTAATTAGGTCTTGAAAGGACAGCCAGAGAAACTGCAGGGTGGGGGAGGGGGGAATGTGTGGGCATGGGCAGTAAGGACTGGTTAGGAATGGCTTTGAACTCCAAACAGAGAATTTTGTATTTGATCCTGGAGGTGATGGGGAACCCCTGAAGTTTATTGAGTAGGACAGTAATCTTGTATCAAGATCCCCCTACTTCCAACCCCAGATTACAGGTAGACAGAAGAAAAAACTATCTAATGATAGAAGAAATTCTACTATCTTCTTCAAAGAAGCATCAAGTCTTAAACCATAAATGATTAATTAGATTTTAAAGCTGGATGGCAGGCTCAGCCATCTCAGATGTTTATTCAGTGAAGCACTTAATAAATGCTTTTACACTTAGTCATTCAGCCTAGTCCCTAGGATCCCTAGACATTCTACCAAGGGCTTCACCTAACACTTACCTCCAATGGTGCTCTCCTGGTATTCATGGAATTGCCCCTTGACGAAGCGTAGCACTAAGCTAGACTTGCCTACGGCAGACTCCCCCAGCAGGACAAGTTTAAATTGGCAGATCTTGCTAGCCTGGGGCTGGCCATTGGGCCGAGCTGTGCCTCTGCTTGTCATGGTCAAATACTAGGGTGGGGTGGGGTGGGGATGGGGAAGGGGGGGAGGGGAAGGGGGCTTCCCAGCTTCTCGAAGTCCTGCAAAAGAAATTAGGTACTTACAATGTAGACCCATTCCAATCACTCTCTCTAAGAAAGGGAGGAACCTCTTATCTTCTTTCACTTGTCATCAAAATTATAATAGCAGCTCAAATTTATGCAGTATTTATGGCTGCAAAGCAGTCCCTTCACAATTATCCTGTGAGGTCAGTAGTAAAAATATTATCTCTGTTTACAGATGAGAAACCGAGGCACATAGATTAAGTGACTTGTCAAAGGTCATAAAGCTGGTTAAGTAGGACTAGAACTCAGATTTTGTAGGATTAGAACTCTGACCATAAGTCCAACACTCTTTTCACCATAGCACATTTTCTCTGGGAGCAGTTGGAACCTGCCATCATAAGATGAACAGAAATGTAACAAGAAATCTACATACATAACAAAACTTAACTGACCCCCTTAACTGACACACCTCAAGCCCCCAAAACGAGCCAAAAATACACCTAATCGCCTGACCTGATTTCTACTGACAAGAGAGTTGACATGGAATTTGAGATGGAAACTAATGGTGAGAGAAAATCCCTACCCCTTATTCATTTTTCCTGGGATCTTATAACCTCCAAGAACTTTCTTTGACTCCACATAAACCATGTTGGGGCCAGTAAAATCAAACCATAATCAGCCTGGAGAAAGCCCAGTTCTACCCTTTAGATATCCTGGTACATCCCCAGGTATTTCCTTGGTACTTTTGTGCAGGTTTTCAAATTGCCCCCCAGGGATGGGGTGGAGCCCTCTCTGATGAGTGATTAGGACTTCTTAGACCGTACAATGAATGCAGTTTCTAGCCCTACACCCGTCATATCTGTTCAGGTTTTTTATAAAAGGTCATTTCTGAAATTCCAACCAGTCTTCAATTCCCAGCCTACTGTCTTTTCCAGCGGTAGTTCAACTCTTCAAACATTGGTTAGAGAAAACCATCAAATTGCTCAGCAGACCACAACTGCTCTTGGTGAAGTGGAAAAAGCAATGTAAAAACAACTCCACAGCTAGGTTTTATCACACATGAGTCAGCAAACCCTCCCTACTGTCTCACTCACAGCTGTCTTCCTGGTGCCTAGAGACTGGATTACACTCTCCATTCCATGTGGGCCTGGCAACCACAACCTCAGGTTGAGAGTAGGGGGAGAGGTATGTCAAGGAGTTTACCTGTGGCTTCTAGCCACGTATATGTTAGGGAATCACTTGGAAGATGGTAGGTTCCCTTCACTTACTTTCCAATTAAATCAGACTATGTTTCATTCCCTAAATATATTTACAGGTTTTCTAATTCTGAGACCCTGCTCACATTCTTCTTCTCTCTTTATGAAATATCTTCCCTCTCTCACCTCCACCTGCCAAAATCCTACCCATCCTTTAAGGCCCATTACAAGAGCAATCAACTAGCATTTGTTAAAGTGCCTACTATGTGCCAGTCATTGTGCTAGGTATTCATGATGACAAAGACAAAAATGAAATAGTCCTTGTCTTCAAGGAGCTGACAGTGATCAGTGAAAATAACATTTAAATATCAATCAACAAGTCTTCATTAAGCATCTATGTACTAGGCACTGTGCTAGCCCTGGGACTTAAAATGTCAGAAGTACAACAGTCCCTGATCCCAAGGAGCTTACACTTCACAGGGAAGACAATCTGTATGCATACATACCTACAGAATATATACAAGATGAATACAAATAAGTTCTGAGAGGGAGGAAAGGAGGTAGGGAGGGCTGCAGCAACTGGGAACCAGGCTAAGCTTCATACAGAAAGTCTTGAAGGAGACTGGGACTTAAGCACATGCCAGTCAGCCAGTTCGAAGGTGTGGAGATGGGAGTGAGTAACAGTGAGCAAGCCAGTATGGCTGCACCATAGACTGTTTGCAGGAGAGTAAAGGTTAAGAGCAGAACAGGAGGAAGGGGCCAGGGTGTGAAGAGCTTTAAATGCTAAACATAAGAATTTCTATTTAATTCTAGAGGTAACAATTGAAGTTTACTGAGTGGGGATGCTGGAATTTACATTAGTGTTTGTGTAGATGACGGACTGGGAAGGGGGTGTGTGTGTGTGTGTGTGTGTGTGTGTGTGTGTGTGTGTGTGTGTGTGTGTGAGAGAGAGAGAGAGAGAGACAGAGAGACAGAAAATAGAGGAAGGGAGACCAATTAAGAGGTTATTGCAATAGTCCTGGTGAGAAGCGACACGGGCCTCAACTAGGATGATGGTTATATGAATAGATAGAAGAGTATGAAAGAAATGTTATGTAGACAGAAATGACAAGATTTGGCAACTGACTGGATATTTAGGGTAAGAGGAATGTCAAGGTTATGAACTCAATGCTGAAGTTATGAATCAGGGTGACTGGAAGGACAGTAGTACCCTTAACAGTAACAGGGCACTTTGGAAGGAGTGGATTTGAGGGGGGGGAAACCCAAGAGAGGAGAAGAAGTCTCTCCAGGAGTACTAGACAGTGTTAAAGGCTGCAAAGACGTCAAGAAAGTTTAAGACTGGGAAGAGCCATTACATTTGACAACTAAGTATCTGTAGTAATGTCGGAGAGAGCAACTTAAGTTGAATGAAGAGACTGGAAGCCCAAATGTAAAAAATTTAGATGAAAATTAGAGAAGAGTAATTGGAGGCACTAAATGTGAATGGCTTTTTCAAGGAATCTGACTAAGAAAGGGATGAAAAAAATTAGGATGATAGCTTTCAGGTATTGTAAGGGCTTTTTAAGGATCAAGAAGACCTAAATGTTATCTTTAGGTTTCTGGAAAATAGTAGATAGGGACAGATTGGAGATGAAATAATAGGGGCAACTTTATAGAGAAGATGGGAAGGGATGATGGAATCAAAGGTACATATAGCAGAAGGTTTGCACCAGAGAATGGAGTAAAGGAGGAAATAATGGAAATGAAGTCAAGAGATTGAGAGAGGAAGAAATAGATACAAGTAGATACAAAAGATATACAAAGTAAATACAAGGTTAGTTTTGTTTTGTTTTCCAGGAGAGCAGCTAGAAAAAAATGAGGAAAGGCTTCCCAGAGGAGGTAACAATTGAGCTGAATTCTGAAAGAAGATGCTCTTGGTTCTAAGGTGTCAACGAGGAGGGAGGGCATTCCAGACACAAGATAATTTGTACAAAAGCATAGAGATGAGAAATGGACTGTCACGTATGAAGGACAAGTAGACCAAATACTACCTCCTTAATGAAGCTTTCCCTAATTTCCTCCAGTGAGGAATGATTTCTCTGTCTTTCAAACTCAGCATTTTAGCTCTCTCTTGTGTACTGAAAATATTCAACTTTTAATTTCCTTAAACGGTAGCAACAGTCATATTCATCTCCCACAGAAGGTACTCAGGAAGTATTAGATGAATACCACTGAGTAATCAAGATTGGTTCCAAACCTACACTCTGTCTTCCTGGTAGGTTAAGTTAGGTTGAAGAGCAGGATTTTGTGAACCCCCAAAGTACTAAGCTGGCACCAAGACAATGATTTGGGAAATGATATGGCATGCCAATGGCAGCAGTAAGGAACCCTTTTTGCTATCAAAGTCAATGATCCTTGGAAAAGATCAATAAGTTTCATTTATTCCTTGAGGTTAAAGCAGAAGCAAAATGAAAGCAATTCCACAACTATAATGTGTGAAGGCTCTAAGTGTAAGAGAGTACATTTTTTAAAAAAGGAAAATCTTAATTTAATTGATTTGGGTTTCAAGAGAAATAGGAAACGATCCAATTCATTCATTTTTAGGAAGAGAGGCTGATACTCCATTTATTCCAATGAAGCTGTTTATGACAGTGAGATCCACTACCACTCAGAGATCAGCCCACACATCTATACTAGTGGATTAAAAACCACCATCACTGCTCAGATTATGGCAGCAGTCAGGCAGAAAGCCCACTGACTGCTGATGAACAATAGACTTGGATCCAGTAATGAAATGGAAGAAAGAGGGCTGGATTCTATTTGGGAAGTTTTGCAGTGTTTTCTTTTTCCGAGGCAATGAGGCTTAAGTGACTTGCTCAGGGTAGTACAGCTAGTTAAATGTCAAGCGTCTGAGACCGGATTTGAACTCAGGTCCTCCTGACTCTAGGGCCCATGCTCTATCCATTTTCGATCTTTCAACTGTCACCTGTACTAATATTCTCCTTGTCACAGAATCTCAAAGACAGAAGCAAGCTCAGAAACCATCTGTTCCAACTCGTAGCTAAATGAAGAATAATGCTATCTGGCAATAAAGCACAGAAGAGCAAGATTTCAGAAGAATTAAATTAAATTCCAGGTGACCTGAAAGGCACTGGGAAGATCTACGGAAGGTATAAGTAGACTACTATGTGTAAAAAGGAAAAAACACCATCAAGGACATGTGTTCAAAATGGAGGGAAGCTCATCATGTAGTAAGTACCGAGACTAAGGAATAAAAATGGACAGCCTCAGTGCTGCACTAGAACCAGAGCAAAGCTTTCCAGTTCCTTCAGTCTGCTGAGTAAATGCTCTATGGAGGATACAGAGGGATAGGTCTTCTGGATCCACCATTAATGAAGATATTTGGAATATCTGGATGCAAGGATCAAAGCTGCATGCAATTGGGAAGAGAAGCCCATCAGGACGGGTGAGTGAGGGAACAGAGATGGGAAGAAAAGATACAGAATAATGCTCCCGGCAAAGAGATATAAAGACAGATACAGAATATCAGTACTGAGGTACTATAGATGAGGCCCATCATTTCCTCATCTTTCAAAACTTAAGGTGGGAATTTTCCAAGGTTCTGTCCTACACCCTCTCTTCTCTCTACACTCTCTCCTTTGGCAATCTATTTGTTTCCAGGACTTAACTATCAACTCTATGCAGATAATTAACCAAAATCTGTGGCCTTGAGGCTGCAGGTTCCCCATCCCTGCTCCACGCTTTGCCCTCTCTTCTGAGCTCTAGGCCCCCATTTTCTATGTCTATATTCCATATCAACATATCGACCACAGGTTGATGACTACCTGAACCTTTTTATAC